ATCAGAACAGTAGGATATAAAACTCCATCTCACTAGTCCAATAAGATACAGAACAGTAGGATATAAAACTCCATCTCATTAGTCCAATAAGATACAGAACAGTAGGATATAAAACTCCATCTCATTAGTCCAATAAGATACAGAACAGTAGGATATAAAACTCCATCTCATTAGTCCAATAAGATACAGAACAGTAGGATATAAAACTCCATCTCATTAGTCCAATAAGATACAGAACAGTAGGATATAAAACTCCATCTCATTAGTCCAATAAGATACAGAACAGTAGGATATAAAACTCCATCTCATTAGTCCAATAAGATACAGAACAGTAGGATATAAAACTCCATCTCATTAGTCCAATAAGATACAGAACAGTAGGATATAAAACTCCATCTCATTAGTCCAATAAGATACAGAACAGTAGGATATAAAACTCCATCTCATTAGTCCAATAAGATACAGAACAGTAGGATATAAAACTCCATCTCATTAGTCCAATAAGATACAGAACAGTAGGATATAAAACTCCATCTCATTAGTCCAATAAGATACAGAACAGTAGGATATAAAACTCCATCTCATTAGTCCAATAAGATACAGAACAGTAGGATATAAAACTTTATTTCATTTCATTAGTTCTATAAGATACAGAACAGTAGGATATAAAGCTCTATTTCATTAGTCCAATAAGATACAGAACAGTAGGATATAAAACTCTATTTCATTAGTCCAATAAGATACAGAACAGTAGGATATCAAACTCCATTTCAGTTCATTAGTTCTATAAGATACAGAACAGTAGGATATAAAACTCCATTTCAGTTCGATAGTTCTATAAGATACAGAACAGTAGGATATAAAACTCAATTTCATTTCATTAGTCCAATTAGATACAGAACAGTAGGATATATAACAACATTTCAGTTCATTAGTTCAATAAGATACAGAACAGTAGGATATAAAACTCCATTTCAGTTCGATAGTTCTATAAGATACAGAACAGTAGGGTATAAAACTCAATTTCATTTCATTAGTTCTATAAGATACAGAAGAGTAGGATATCAAACTCCATTTCAGTTCATTAGTTCAATAAGATACAGAACAGTAGGATATAAAACTCTATTTCATTTTATTAGTTCTATAAGATACAGAACAGTAGGATATAAAACTCTATTTCATTTCATTAGTTCTATAAGATACAGAAGAGTAGGATATCAAACTCCATTTCAGTTCATTAGTTCAATAAGATACAGAACAGTAGGATATAAAACTCTATTTCATTTCATTAGTCCAATAAGGTACAGAACAGTAGGATATAAAACTCTATTTCATTTCATTAGTCCAATAAGGTACAGAACAGTAGGATATAAAACAAGATTTCATTTCATTAGCCCAGTAAGCTACAGTTCTAACAGTGGGATATGAAACTCTATGTTATTTCAGACTATCTTATCAGGAGAGGTGTATAATTGTATTAATATGGTGTTTGATTTACGGAATGTAACAGTCGAGTTGCTGCAATCACATCACCTCAGTGTGGAATCACCTGAAGTTTCCCTAGCCAAACTAGATTTTATCCAATCACAACTGACCTACACCAGTTCTTCCAACCAATCAAAAGATATCAGTTTATGGTCACATGCTATAGTCGTCTCAGACACCAGATATAAAAGTAAGCACTATACAACAAATCTTAAACCCCTAATACGTATCCTTGCCTGTGCAAGGCTTTTTGAATATCTAATTGAAAGGGTTAACCACTTTCAAACTGTGAAAACGTCAATACTTTATGCTGGGCTGGAACAGTGGAATAGCTCAGTTGCAAGTTGGATTGTCATCTGCTAGGTGATTAGGTGTTGTGAGTTCAAATCCTTGGGAGAGTCTGGTGTCGGCTTTCACCACCCAAATATCTTATTCCTGTAAACCATTTCTTGTCTTTATATTTTGAAATATGCCATTTCAGAAGAACCAATGAACTCCAGGCCGAATGTTTTTGTGAATATTTTACAACCGAAAGGTGAATCTGATAAAACTGAGTTACAATTAGAATTAAACTTTCGTTCTACGAAGGAATCAACTCAGTTTACTGTGCTCTTAAATAAGATGAAGATTATGTGTATATTTGATTGGTTGGTTTGTGTCCAGGAATTTTTAATGACCAGTCCAGATAATCCCTTTGTTTCAGGTGAGTTTTATATGAACTAAGTGAAATGTCTAAAAGTTCTGAGAATGTGGCATTGAACCACACCACTTTCCCTGCAGGTATTTTATTTTCTGTTCCAGTAACTAGACTGCAGGGAGAAGCTTCTATAAGCTAACACAGGCCTCAATCTTATATAAGCCATAATGTTTACAGACTTTCTGTTGAAGGTTCTGATTGACTGTTTTCGCTGGGGTACAATCCAATCAAATCACTGCATTATATGACAAGATGGCTATGACAGTCAAGGTATAAACTTGACATTGATAAGGCTATGTTTAGGGTAAGATAAGGTTGAAACGACCAGTAATCCAGATCTAATAANCATATAATTATTATATTCCAGAAGAAGAAAGATATCTCAATCAATGTTGAGTCC